AAGGTTTGGGGGGGTCATTTTTTCCCCTCCCTTTTTTTTTTTTTTTTTTTTTTTTTTCCATATTTGAAGAGATGGAATTTGTACCAAAAGATGAACCAGACTTGTACATGTCTGCAGTTGTCTTCCAGAAGTTTTGGTTAAGTTTGCCATGATGTCACACAAGGAAGTGAAGTCTTTAATTTGTTGCCTTTCACACATGTGCCTCCAATAAAGACAAATATTGCAGATGAACCAGATCAGAAGGGAACATTCTGAAACTATATCAGTTTATATAGTCAGTCTGATAAATCTGGCATTTAGTAAATATAGCCAACTTTGGTCCTCTTAACTTTCCCTACAACAGGAAAGGTTGAGTCTGACTCACTGTCAGTGACATATGTACATATACATCTGGTTTCAATACTCAGTGCCTCTTAGTTATCTTGCATAAATAATGGAGAATATTATTGGCAAATATTCTGACAGTCCTGTTCTCTATTTTGGAACAGAAAAAGCCATTAGGCATTGAATAGATAAGCTTGCTTTATATGCAAAACATCTTGTCTGCACTCCATTTTCACTTCTCATGTAGTTATCGTTATCTTTTGTTTCAGAGAACTTGGAGCCAAAAAAAATTCCTTTGCTTGTATTTTCTTTGTGCAGTTATAAATGAAGCTGTAAAAATAGCACATGATTCATTACAGTTTGCTTGACACATATTTAAATATGTAAAAAATATATATCCGTGAATGTTCCAGATTAAGAAAGGAGCCCCTCCTTGAAACATTGACATTACTAATTAAGCGAGATTCTGAATGAGTGTGGCCTGAATATTTGTCATATCCTCAGCGGGACCTAAATGAAGTGGTTCACACTGAAGGGATGTTTGTTTTCTTTAACAGTTTGTATGCATTTAATATTTACCTAGCAGCTGTATTCATGGCACTGTTTTATCAAACCAGTGGATAGAAGAAGTCTGCACACCCTGCAAGGATTTTATGACGTAAAAAAAGACACTTTTTTCATAAAACGTATTTATGAAATGAGAAGACAAAAGATGTTAGCAGGGGGAGTAATGAAGGAACTGCAGGAATTTGTGTTCTACATGTGGCAACAATGCCCTGTTGTCTCTGAAATTCTCGACCGAGTTTAATGACAAACGCCATTTTTCCAAAGGATCCTTCCATGTTTGATGAAATTTTGGCCACAATTCTAAAAGTTTGGGTTGGCACAAAAACAACACATCACCAAACAAACACAGCACACAAAGGGAACTACGGTTGTGGGAACGTCATGGCTTAGGATTACTTTTTCTTCAGACAAACTAGACTTTTAGTGAAGGGAGGCCAAGTTTCTGTTTCAGTCGGTTTGGGCCCAAAGCTCTTCGGCGGGTGATAGAAAACTGTAGATGAAGAGAGATTTTACCTTCAGCATCACAGTTCAAAGTCCAAACCTTCATCCAACAGAGGAATGATTTCACCAGACCAGGTTCATTAAGTCTAATTTCTGGTCTTTAAGTTTTAAACTATGAGGTTTATTTTATTTTATTTATTTATTTTTATTTACATATATTTCCGTAAATGTCAACATCCCACAGAAGAAAATCTATTGATTCTATTTCTACACTTTTTTTAAAACCAAAAAACAGAAAAAGTGTCCAGAGGGCCACATTAAACCTTATGGCGGGCCAGATTTGGCCCCCGAACCTTGAGTTTGAAACATGTGATGAAGTTGTTCTGTAAGCTCTTAACTTTTTATATATTTTTCTATAAATACCTTTTGAATTTCCTCCTAACAGCACAACATTGGAATGCCACAGCTAGCAGGCTAATAAACCAATATACCATTTCACAGGACAGCTGTGGTACGTGACTATTTACCAGCTTCTTTTCATCTCTTAACCTTTAGCAACAGACGTGGTACTCCAGAGGCTCCATGTTTTCTCTGTTTCTAGCTCTATCTGCAATGTGCCAGAGTACCAAAACCTTACAGACTGAATGCAACCTTTTTACTTACTTTCGATCTATGTTGCTTTTTGAGATCCTTTAGCCTACTTCATGTTGTCAGACAGGCTTTATTTAAGAGATTTGAATCTACAGGCTTATCACTAACCACGTCTGGTTGTGGATAAAGAAATTAAACTGGAATGTGGTTAATATCAGTTAATTCACGACTGTGCCTTTCCACACAGGTTGGTTTAGATAGAAAATTTCCTCAAAAAGTCATCTTTTGACAACTAGTTATTGTATTTATCTGATCTTGTACCTACTCTCACATTTTAACACTTAAATTTGACAAAAGCATAAAAAAAAATAGAAGAAACCTGAAGAGGAACAAATACATCCAGTTCTCTTTGTGACTGAAACGGTAGCAGAAAGCTGTCAGTGTGGCTTCACATCACTGTGTAATTAGACTTATCGTGTCAGATGTTAAACAGGACAACCTGTGTGCAAACTGACAAACCAACATCAATCACTCATTACCTGGACTGAACTGGAGGAAGAGCTTCAGTAGGCAGCTGCAGTTCCATCAGCCATGCCGCGTCCCAAACTTTCCACTTGCTGGAAAAAATCTCCCACTGTGAAAATGCCCGCACATCCCATCAGAAATGGCTGAAAAATTAAACACAAATCTTTTTCTAGAAGTCTCTCTCAAAACAAACACTCCTCCTCTGATGACATAAGTGTTACGCTGACTGCAAGAGTGGAAAGTTATCTCCCAATTGCTCTGTCCTTCGCACATCCGTTGCGTCCAGACGCCTAAGTCACCTCAGCAGCTGTGAAATCCAGCTCAGAGGAAAAAAATAGAGGGGGAAAAAAAGTGCTTGAAGACACAGAGATGGGAAGAGAAAAACCGTCAATGAAATGATGCTTAGTGGGAATTACGGAAAGCGTCAGCTGCTCTCGGAGACTCCTGTCTTTGACTGAGGACAAGTAACAGAGAAAAGGGAGAGAGAGACAGAGTGTGTGTGTCAGAGGTAGAGAGGCGAGAGAGAAGAGCATGCTTTTAGCACGGCGCTCTCACTCACAAGCCCCAAGTGGGGGAGAGGAGGGAGAGGAGGCAACAGCGGGGAGGTATGCAGGAAATGCGCTCTGCTCCAGCCCCTGTGCCATCTATCTCCAGGCAGCAGCGGACTGCAGTGCCACTCGCCGGGTTTTAACGCTGACAGAGCAGCCCTGGGGACACCTGCAGTAAAAAATATATACTTATATATATAATGGTAAAAACAAAATCAACCTGCAGTGTCCCTAAGCCACAAACACACACACGGTTTTTTGGAATGTATTTATGGTTCGTTTTTGTGTCTGGAAAACGAGCCTTTTCAAAAACAGAATGCGACGTCGCAAATAAGGTTGTTATGTAACACTGAGGAAATCTGAAATTCAGAAAACATTTCAGTTAACCAAAATAAATTGAAGCGGGGAAAAACTGGAACTTAGTGGGAATGTACCGTACGTTTATAAAACTAACAAATGAAAACATACTCAGAAATACTGCACCGTCAGCGTGTAGAGCTTAAACTGTGTATGGGAGACAAAATACAAATTTGCACACTTTTTCTTATTGGTTTTATTCAAATTTTTCTTTTATACATTTTCCTTTTATGGAGAACGCATCGGAAGGAGACTGAATTTCTTCACATTTGACGCAAAGACTTTTATTGAAAATGAGCTGATCACTGAAACATGCAGAGAACACTTTGTGACTTCCCGAAGCCAAATTTGATGCAACAGGTAAAACAAATAAATCACCTCTGACTGTGTGGAGGAGCAAAACCAGAACTTCTTCGGCCTGAAGCTCAGCTGGCTCGGTGAGAAACAGCTGAGAGGAACTGGCACCATTTCTAAGACATATTAAAACTACAGATGATTTATTCAATCAAAGGGTTTCAAGAAGCAAACCATACCGAGGAAACAGAGTGCAGACTGTACCTGATAGAAATTTGCATTTGTTTTGTGACAGTTTGCAGTCATTTGTGAGGTTTCCACACAGGTTTATGTTTCCCATTTCCATGACAACGCCATTCAATTAGAGCAAAAACTTTAAACAATATCTTCATACGTAGATTGTTGGTTATTTCAGGGTCCTGTTTTGGGAGTTTTGAAACAGTGAAGTTATACATACAACATCCTTTTTCCTGGATGGTCTAATTGCAGATATGTTTATGGGAGTTTCCGTCACACTTGCGTGGTAATGTACTTTCCAGTAAACAGATATTTTGATGGTTTTTGCCAACGTGTTCTGAGACATGCTCTTGGAGTTCTAGTGTTTCACATATCAGGGCACAGTGAAAAATGTGTTGGTGTTTACTAGGTTTTAATTTATTACTTTTTTAATTTTAATTGAGAACAATGAAAATTGTTGTCAATTTTAAGAATGTGCTTTTAGCGCAGCTCAATACTCTTTTTATTGATTAAAAAGGAGGAAAAAATAAACCAAAAACCCAAAGAAGGGGAAAAAAAACCCAACTAAAGTTGTTTTTCAGTCTTGTATTTCCTACGGCGTTTTAGGGCCGTTGTAGATAGAAAATAAAAAGTAGAGGAGCACATTTCTACCCAAAAAATAGAATGAAAAAAAAGAAAGAAATTTTCTAGAAAAAAAAAAACAAACAAGGAAATTTCAAGAGACTGAAAGGTCGAAAATTTGCTAGAAACAAAAATCCAAAATTTTCTAGAAATAAAAGTGGAAATTTTTGAAAATCCGAAAATCTAAGAAAAACTCAAATATTTTCTAGAAAAATTCTAAATTCCTGAGTTTTGTAAGCTGATCAAATTTTGAGTTTTTATACCCCCAAATTTCCTCTTCTTCTTTTTTTTTTTTAAGGAAATTTCAGTTTTACCTAATACATTTTAAACTTTTCAAACTCTGAAATTTTCACAAAAATTTTGATTTTTTTTGGCAGAAATCTACTCCTCTTTTTTTCTATCTATAATGGCCCTAATACTCTGTCATATGTATTGTATGTTGGCATAATAACCTTTTTAATTTTTCATAGATATTGTGTGTGTGGCGACATGAGTGCTATAGGATTTGTTTTGCAGTGAGGCCACCATCTCAATTTATTTACTTTTTTATGATCACAGATTATTACAAGCTAAAGTAATCAGAATTTTTTTTCTATTCAATTTTACTTACATAATGCCAATTCACAACAAAAGTCCATCTGAGGACTCATTTAAATGATTTTAGAAGTTTGTAATGTGAAAGGATGAACTTTCTTTTAACCACAGAAATTGTCAAATTGTTAGATTAACTGCAACAGCTTGAAAGAGAAAATGAAGAATGAAAATCATTAGTGGTCCTCTGAACATTTCACTTCCAGCACTTCAAGTTAGACATGCTTTTTAGTTGCCAATTTCAGTGGAGAGCATGAATTTAACAGCGAGACAGAACTGGTAAAAATCACCTTTGAAAGGAGGGATAAAAAGCATATTTCTTACTGAGTTCTTGTGCTAAAGTCAGAGCAAAGTGCAATAAAACAAAGTGCTAGGCAACAACTGAGACAGATTCATCTATTTCAGAAAAATAGATGAATTATGCTCTGGGAGCATGGTCTCTATAGCCAAAGCCAAAATCCTGTAATTTCACAGAGCAAAGGTTTGAGAGAGATCAGACCAATTTTGATGAACAATAAGAACAGATGGCTGTGTGAATTTCTTGCTTGTTAAACGACAAAACAAAACCATGCAATGTCGCCAATGTCTTGATAAAATTGTCACATTTCTATGGCAACAGACGAAACTAAAGTGTTCACAGCCCACATTTTGTCAAGTTTCAACATATTCTAATGTAATGCATTCAGATTTAATGTGACTGACCAACAAGGAGCAGAGCAGAACCATGAAGTTTCAAATAAATAAGTAAATGTTTAGATGGAAAGGAACAATTGTATCACTATCACTAGCTTGTTTTGTAATATAAGAAAAAAATCCTAAGTGTTGCATGTATTTGTATTAAGTCACATTTACTCTGATACTTCTAATGAAATTCCAGGTCAACCAATTGTCTTGCTAATGCATGTAATTATTAGCCAAAGCCCACCTGTTTTTACACATTGTTTTATGTGGAGCCAAGCACATAATTATTTGTGGGAAATTTGCTTAACTGCAGATTCTTTTTTGTAGAGTCCATCTAAAATATTCAAGCCATTGGTTTTCCCTGATGCTGACTGGCTGTTCGCCAAAGAAAGGAGATAAGGATCATGACTGTTAGCTTCTCTGGTAGTAACAAGATGGTTTCCACTGAGCACATTAACGCATATTAAGATATATTTTGTGTTTGAACTATCAAAACAGAGAGTTATACATTCCTCTCCTATCTAGAAAGTTCCCGAAACACTCTACCATCCAAGACGCTCAGGATCAACCCAGATGTCACCGACGTTGGCAACCTTTTCCCCCCAGTGTGTCCAATTTCAGGTGTCAAAACATAATCGGACTGATTGGACAGTCCCTGCTGAACCACTTGAAATCAAATCTACCCACTTACATGATTGACATTTTAGTGGGCTCTTTGGGCCAGAGAGATGATTAGTATTCAATGTGCTGGGTCTGAGGCATTGATTGACCCCATTTCCCTAAGTAAGAGAAATATAAACAGTTCTGACTTTTTCCATTTTTGTGGCAATCTTACATTTTTATGCACAGAGATGTTTGATTGCTTATTGCTACGTATCACTCGCCTTGAACTGGTGTTCAACTCTTTGAGGTTTTTGACATGACAAAATGTGAAACTGTCAAACTTCTGTTGGGGAAATTATAGAGCAGTTTAATGTTTTGCATCACAGAAACTAGTTTACCTATTGGCAAATATTAAGTATCGCGATGCGAATCGTTACCCTAAAAAACTGAATTGAATCACAAGACGTTGACAGATTTGCATTTCCAGTAGTTGTGCTGGGTTTTTAATAGGAAACTTAGAAAGAAGCCTTCTTTTTTTTTGTGTTATACTTGTAAGATTTTTTATTTGTAATAAATTCTGTAAGAAGGTGAAGTTTCAACTAATTATATAGTTATTCCTTCTTTGTGACCTGAGTGAAGATATCTCCCCTAAAATATAACAAAACTGGTGTCAAACGTTTGTGCAGCAAAGATTTTAGTTTGTGTCGCTATCATTTTACAGATATTAAAAAAAAAGTCTCCCGAGGTCATCAAAGGTCAACCAGCCCCTCCTACTGCTCACGTTTACAAAATCTAACAAGTTTGGTGTCAATCAACTCAGCTACATTTGTGCAGCAAAAACTTTTGTCTGTGCTGCTTTTTACTTTCAAGATATTGATGACAACCTGTGGAAGTGTCTTTATTAATATCTTTAAAATGATACCGGCACAAGCAAAACGTTTTACTGCACAAACCAGCACAAAGGTTTGACACCAATTTTGTTAGATTTGAAGAAGGTGGAGGAGCCACTCTGGTTACTTTGTGCTGCTCTATCACAACGACTCCCAATAGGAAACGCTGCAGTTTGTGATTGCACCATATTCTGCCATCTGCTTCAACAGAAATGACCGAAAAACACACCCTCACCTTGATTTTGTTTGCTTCTTCACAGTGAATGGACTCTCAGCCAGGCTCTTTACACTCACATGTTTACAGCTCTGACCTTTTCACCCAGCTGGCTGCATTTCCGCTTATAGCCACGGAGTAAGGTGCAGGTCGTTGTGCTCAGGAACTTCTAAAATAACCAGCTTTATTTCAGGCCATCAAAATCAAAAGAAAGGTTAGGTTGCTGAAATAACTAAATTAAATTATAATAGTACTTGCAAAGTCTACTACTCTACTAATATTTCTAGAAAGTTATAAGAGTTTAAAAGTCACAAAGTAGAAAACCATCAAAAATGGTGTCTTAAACGCATTGGTTTCACAGTCCTGGTAAGTAACCTGACAAATTGTTTTTTAAAACCCACACACACACACACACACACACACACACACACACACACACACACACACACACACTTGCACAAACAGTGCAGACGGTAAATCCCAAATGCAAATAAAGCAGACACATAACAATAATTACTTGTAGGAAAATGACGTCTTTGGACGCAAATCATACTGACAGAATGGCGGAAATAAATGCCAAACAACTCTTGTGTCAGGCAGGTGCAGGTGGGTGGAAACGCTGGCTGCCTCTCCTTGAAAGCTTGTGACTGAGTGAGTGTT